TATAAATACTCTATTTTTTGAGTCTTTCGTGTCTTCAGGCAAGGAGGACCAACCAAAACTTGAGAGCTAGAAATATTTCGTTGATCGTACAAGAGAATCTCAGAATGCCATTACGATTACGTCGTGCGCCGCTCTAATCACACCTTTCATTGATGCAGCTCGATGCTACCAGTGGCGTTCCTGTTCACCGACTACCAAGTCACAGTATACAGTAGTCCTCCCGAGTAACAAGCTGAAAACGACGGATCGACCGATAACATCTTTTACACTTACTTAAACAATAAGTGGTCAAGTAAGAAAAACCGAGAAATGGCGTCATCAGATTCTGATAGCGATGTGGAGGGTCCTCAAGTTAGAGTTTCTCTGAAACTTTCCAATGCGGTTCAGGACCGTTCCTTAGAAGTACCAATTGAGCCGATAGCTGTCCCTGCCGATATTGGACGGAAAGGACTTTCCGCTGTCTTGAACCACTTGCTTGGACGGTCAGTTACCAGCGATAAAAAAGATGACGATAGCGACGAGGAAATGAGCGATGACGACGATAGTGATGACGAGAAACTTCCGCCACTCGCATTTGAATTCATTGTTAAAGGAACGAGTAACCGACTCTTACGAAAAGGTGTTGAAAAAGAAGCTCGACAGCATGGGCTGAGTCTAGAAGAAGCAATATCGATCACATACTTTCCTGCATCGGATGTACCGTATCGAAAAGACGACGAGGAGACACTGCCAGACTGGGTTTCGTGTCTATCGGCTTGCGATGGGTATGGTGATAACGAATCAAGTAATTTTGTATTTTCGGGATGCTACGATGGATCGATCCATGCCTACAGAAGAAATGATGATAGTTCTCTCACTAAGGTTGATTTCACGACGGATGGGACGGCAGGACCGATCAAGGCTATGGCAACAATTCGGACCGATGACAAGGTATGGGTAGCTTCGGCATCTATGGATCATTCTCTCAATGTTTATGCATTCGAAAGCAATAGCAAGAATGACAAAGCAAAGCTTGGGTTTCACGGACAGTGCGTGCTAGCTGCAAATGAACTTGGATCTTCTTCATCCTCTTTCACTAGCCTTGACTTTAGCAACAAGAACATCCTCGCAAGCGGAAGCGGCAACGGAAAAATATCTATTTGGAATGTTGAGAATATTGTAGACAATCATACGACGGAGACAGACAAGAAAAGGCAAAAGTCATCTTCGAGTAAGAAAGTAAAACCGGCTGCATCAAAGAACGAAATTGCGGCCACGGTGCATTTTGAAAATGCACACTCTCAATCGGTGACCGGCCTTTCATGGGGAAATCATAACAAGACACTTACCGATGGTAGTGATGACACGGTTGGTGGCACCCATCTTATCAGTGGTAGTTGGGATCATTCGATCAAATTGTGGGACGTGGAAAAACACAACTGTCTATTAACCTTGAACGGTGCTAGGGTAGTTTCTTGCTTGGATACATCGTATCATTCAGAAGGCGTGGTAGCTACGGGACATCCCGACTGCACGATCCGACTATGGGATGTACGAGTCAACAACACCAAACAAAATACCATGCTCGTTTCCGACAACACGTTTCGCCCCTCTCATAAGGCATGGGTCTCAAGTGTCAAATGGAGTCGCTCGAATGCCTACCAATTGGCATCCACTAGTCATGACGGCGCCGTAAAGGTTTGGGACATTCGCTCTTCAAACCCCTTGCACACAGTCCGAACTTTTCCAAAGGAAGAAAAGGGGCTTTCCTTATTGTGGCTTCCGGCTTTGGAAGCAAAGAGTAGCGAAGCGATCTACGCTGGAGGAACAGACTGTGTCATAAAACGACTAGAGATGTAGGATATTCAATATTATGAATAAAAATTTATTGCAATCTAGGATGAGTAATCTCAAAAAGTATTGATTATTGCTAATTGTTCATGGCGCTTCTTCTTTGGCCTTTCATCGTATTGGCATAATGGCGAAGAATGGTTTTCGTAGACAGATTTAATCCTGGCGCATGTTCTATGTCATCTCCGTCTTCATCATCCTCTTCTGAATACCCATCGGACATCATTTTTCCGAGCCTTTCTTTCAGTAAGTCAGTTCGTTTGGATCGCGGAAGAGTTGTGCTGCTGCCTTCTCTGTTGACGGGGAATGGGTCGATCTCCCAGATCCAAGCTTTGATGACTGCACGATGTTCCGCCATTGCCACTAGCTGTCCACACGTAAACGCATCGAGCCTCCCACACAACAATAACGTACTGGGTCGATTGCCACCCGACCGATTATGTTCTGCTGGCTCTTGCTCATCTACAAAAGTATTACTCTCGTCACCGCCAAAGCCGGTACCGACGGGGGATTTATCGTCGGCATAATGGTCGTCATTGCTTTGGTCAAAGCCAAAAGCCAATCCATCCGCATGAGCAAATAAAGAACAGACAAGAGTATCTTGTGCTTCAAAAACTTTTTTATTCTCTCCTTCACCTAGCAAGCATCCATTGGTAGCAAGTTGAGAGTCCAATGTCATTACGAGTTCCGATGGGATGATTTTGGGGGATTGATAAAGTGAATGGTCATAAATGCCGTGTAGTCCACCGTCAATGACGAGAGAAGAACACGCAGAGCTCTGTACTGTCGCTGGTGGTGGCATTGACATTGATTGAGGATGCATTTCATTTAAAGATGAGGACATTGATGATGATGACATCCAAGAGGAATTGTTATTTCTTTCCTTGCGTTTTCTGCCACATACTTGCGCTTCAAGTGCCGCGACAAAGGCTGGATAAGCCACAAATGCCTCGGTATATGGCGTAAGTATGCGCCCGCTATTGGCTGAGTACKGGGCACTTCTGTTGTTGTTGTTAGGMGACAACAAGCAATCATTCCAGACATCCGTGAGAGCAAGCAGAACCGGCAAATTGTGTCTAGGATTGGTTTCTACGAAATGCTTATCAATATCGTGTGCTCCCGAAAGAAAAGCCTCGACAGCCGGCCATCCAAAAACAATTGAGAGCGGCAAGAGAGTCGCCGCGGTGCATGTCGTGAAAGGTTCGCAACGGSAATGATCGGGGATCAAAAAGACGGACTCGGGCTTGTGCTTGCTTGCCAAATCCTCGTTGCTTGTTACCAGCATACAATGCTTACTCAAAATGAACTCGGGTCTGTGTCCGTGCCCTCCCAGTTTGGACAAAAGCCAGGACTGCAGTGTTTGAGTCGCCAACATTGTCGTATCTCTGTTCTCCTTCCCCGTCATCGCAACGCTTATCACCAGGGTCGCAGAGGGGTCCAAGTCAGTCACCACTGCCGCTGCCTGCACCGGATCGACCGTCGTCAGGAATTTCATGCGGCGATGTCCCAGCTCGCTTCCCTTTTTCGGATTCCGTCCATCCATTCCCAAGCGTCTTCCAATCGTGGCTGCCTCGTCTTCGCACAAGGCCGTGTACACAAATCGCAATGCCATTGCAGTTAACCCATGTCCCACGACAACAACATCTTTTATCATTCCTCCCGTAACTCCCGGCAATTTCCCTCTGCGCAATGACTCCGATATTCGTTTTATGCGGTTCCAATCACTGTGGATTCCGACCAATACATTCAATCCATCCCTTGTCAACATCTCCAAATTCCTTCCAGAGGGAGCACGAAGAGCCATGTGGTACGACGGAATGGAGCAACGCGAGCAATCGTTTTGTTTTTGGTTTTGTTCAATATTCCTTCGGTCCCTCTCACCATGCCGATGACGGTTTGATTTGTTCTTAGCATTCGGAGTGCTGCCATCTGCGTAAGGATTGTCCTGGTCTGGAAGGAATCTCGTCGGCACTATTGGATTTTCTGGATCATTTTGTCCCCACGAGAGCTGCCGAATGAATTTTGGAAGACCTCTGGCTGTTCCAAGGCATAGCATGTGATTCAAGGTTTCTAAAGTCATCCGCTGTCGAGAGAGATCGATCATCAACATGCTATTGGCACTGGGTGTTGTCGCATTGTAAACGCTGACCAACGAAGACACACGATCGTTGTCCCGACACAGTTCCTGTAGGCGTAAATTGCTTATCTCGTCTCGAGCATGGCGTCTCAATATAGCCCACGCCTGCGAGGTTTTAGTAGAACAAACACTGTTATCCGACAACGATGACATTGAAATCCGTTCAACAGAAATTTGATTTCGCCTCAGCAAAGTGGGAGACAGGAGAGATTCGCAGGTTTGTCATTGTTTCTAMAGGTACGGTAAAGTATCATGTATGTTTTCGACTTTCGAAAGAGATAATAGCTTGTATCAAAAATAGAAGAAAAGTTTTTTGCAAAATGACTAGCTCGACTAAGTTCGACATACGTGCACTTTCGGTTGATACGACTTTGAGTACGTACGTACCGTACAGTACTTTACGTAGATGAACCATTTTTATTTAATTGTAAGTAATACTTTGTGTCTTTGTTACTGATGATGGTGATGAGCTGAGGTATTGTTACTGTTGCTCATAACCTGCGAAATGTGTACATGCTCTTTAGTGTGGTATAACTACGTGTTTACAATAAAGAGTGAGTTGAGTGGATGTGCTGTTTGCTGTCACTCACTATTCACTCGTGATTTACTACGTGGTATTGCCTCACAATGGGTGCCCCACGCTACGTACCTACTCTTACCGTTCAGTTCAGTTCAGCGTACGAACCGTACCGTACAGCATAAATTTTTGAAATTTGAAAGAAAATTCATAACGGCACGATCCGCGATCCAAAACATACGGTAGCTCAAAAACGACGACGACACATCTATTGCAAACGATGACTCGTTAGTTCCAAGGAAAGGACGGTCCGAGGAGAAAAAAGCAATCAGCAATCGCCACAGCCAATTTTTCGGTTAGGAAGTCTTCCACTGAATATGTCCAATACCGGGCACGACGAATTTGACCGTTTAGCGAGTGAACTTTCTGCCACCATTAAAGAGATCGAGGTCGCACTGCGCGAGAGGGCAAGTGGCGATAGCAAGAATGACAAGGAGAGTCGCAGCGGGACAAATAAATTAATCGTGAAGGCCTCTTCAATTCTCTCGAAATTGTCGTCCGTGACGAAAAGCGTTTCAGAAAGGGAAGAACCAGGTCTCAAACAGGAACTCGTTGACATATACAAAGCATACAAAATGCAAATGAAAACCTTCAAGTCCCTACATCAACAACCAGAATTGTTCAAAAACAAAATTGGAACCARAGCGTCGTGTACCGAAAAACTAGAATYGGAGAAATTGACATTATTTYCTTCCTCTGGAGGGAAAACCGTAGGTAGCGATGAACWATCGTCGAGATGGCACGACACTAGCGGAACCAGAAAGAATAATTTCTCTAGAAACGGTCATTCTCGGGACGGGATTGTCTCCAATACGCAAGGAAGGGTGGGAAAGCAGAACTCCCGGCTCCAAGATGCCCTGAAGAGTCTCGCGGAGTCGGAACAAGTTGCTCAAGAAATATCAGGAGAATTGCAAGGTCAACGAGAAACGCTACAGAAAGCGCATGGTCGAATGGACCAATTTTCTGCCATGACTGAGTACTCGAAAACTCTCCTGAACAGTATGAACAAACCGTGGTGGCGGAAGTGGTAGATTTTTGTTACACAATGGAGTGTYCCGTTATGTCAAAAGATTCTGTGCTTTTGTCCGGAAACGATTKTTAGGTTTGAGTCGAGTCGAGTCGATTTTAGTTCTTTCGAAAGCGCTAATTTTTCCATCCTCATTTCTATCCGTATCGGGAGTAGCACATACAAAGATCGCACCCCGTCAGGTCAAAGGAAAGCTAATAGACCGCTGGGTCCCGAGAGTTAAAACAAGCAAGCTTTCTACTCTTCAACCCAACATCGGGATCGTCTTTTCCAAACATCTTTTATAGAGTCTGCATTGCTCCCCGTACAGTGGCACGTGCACTCCACCTGAGCACGTGTGCACAAGGAAGGAAGACAAAACGCTGCATCTCATGCTTTCATATTCGGACTGTACGTACTGCAAGCTTCAGCACATAAACACGATCGATCGTCCGAGTGAAACGGAGTCTTGCGATACATTTTAGTGCATGATGTAAAGGTGACTGCTAGCCAGCATCTAATGGAACTACGATTGATCCAGAAAGGCCAGTATGGTCCAACAAGTGTCGTACCTGTAAAAACTAAAAACAGGTAGCTCCATCTTAACAAATGACTACTGTACGTGTATTGCGAWGCAGAAGTACGCAGTTTGGACTGATAAGCCCTTATTTTCGATAATGGTACGAGTACTACTGTACTTWGCTTAATTTTCTTTTTTGAAACGTCAATACCTGGTTTATCGCGATCCTTTCCTGCAATGCTTTTGATAGTCGTAGAAGTAATTCGCACGAACGCCTGAAAAATATTTTACTTACTTACTGTAATATCTTATTGTACGGTAGAGTAAACTCGTTAAGGATGTCTGAATGCGTTCTTAACACGTAGAGTCTTAAAGGTCACGTTAATAGATAATGCGACATTAGCACGATTAAAAGTAGTATGAGCTTTTTAATTCTCGCAAACAGATTTTGAAGTAAAAAACAAGAGATCCCTAATTATGAAAACCCATAGCAACTTATTTCTCAATACTTATTGTCCCGCATCTCCATTCTGCTAAGTAAAAAGCAAAACTATTAAGCCTTTATTTCAATAGGTGAGAGAATAGAAATATCTCCTGGTACACGATTGATGCTCTATTTCTATGAGGGTTCGTCAACATCATTCGGACGATAAATAGGATAATGGTGCCCTTTCCATAGTTATTCGTTCTAGTGTGCCTGTGGACAGTTTCGAAGTATTTTTCATCGGGGCAAAAAGTTCCCAAAGCGCGTTTACAAACGCACGACGAAAGGGATTTTGGATTTTTGTGCCTTCAATCCGGAAGCTCACTGGCTCGCAAGAACATCGATGTAGCTGATCGTAAAGCACTAGAATTACTTCATAAAGATTGAAAGCTTCGCTTTAAATAAACTGAAATTCTGAACCGATGTACTTCGACACGATGGAGCCCGATAACTCCTTACCACTGCAACTGTTGTACGAATTCGATGGAAAGGGGGTTGGCAGTAGTCAGGAAATCGGATGGACAAATGAAGACGTAATGAATCCATACAATGTCACCAGCAACAGTAATGTTGAGGTCGTACAATTTGGTGATCATGATTCAATATTCGACATTCAGTCTTCAACATCACCTCGGCAAATTACTCACGATCGCATCTCAGAAAGTGCCCATATTCGCGAGAATCTCCCGACGGAAGAATCACGATGCGAAGATAGCACATCCTCACCATCTCAACCGAAGCCATCCACAAAAAGAAAAAGGTCACGGAGCCTTGTTTCRTCTTCATGGAATGAACGGTTTCAAGAGCTAATTAGATTTCGTGAAGCAAACGACCATTGCTTTGTGCCACATAATTATCCTGCTAATCCAAAGCTATCGCAGTGGGTTCGTAAGCAGCGACATCAGCGAAAGCGAAAAGAAAAACGATTACACTCGACTCTAAGTGACGAGAGGCAAGAGTTACTAACAAATGCAGGATTTATTTGGGATTCCCATAGGGCAATGTGGCAGGAGAGGTACCAATCTTTAGAACTTTTCCAGATGACCAATGGACACTGTAACGTTCCATCTAATTTTCATGATTCTTCCCTATCAAATTGGGTTAAAAACCAACGGAAGCAATTCAAGCTTTTTCAAACCGGGTCAAAAACGACAATGAATGAAGAACGAATCAATCTTCTCAATGCTTTAGGATTCAATTGGAATCCAAGAAATTTGTGAGAACTGTACGGACGAACGAAACCGATGAAAGTGATTAAGCACATAATCAACATATATAATACTACATTTTTTAAACTAAAAGCGTGATAGATACTTCAATCTTTCTATCACTGATGATGTTATTTTTGCCAAGTTCATAACAGCGACCTTTCTCAAATCATACATATCTTCGAACCCCTTTCCTTATTAATGGAATATACATGAATGTCACCGACCTAAGTCTCCTGCTTTCGTTCCCACTATTTGCTCCAAATCATCACGCTTTTCGATGTCGGATGGTTGTGTCGGGTCATCAGAGATATCTCGATTCGATCTCGCGTATTTGGCATCTTGTAATGCTATGGCCCGGGCTTCATTTCTTGACGCTTCTGTCACTTCCATATATTTCTTGGAGAGACTCTCAGGGTCGTGTTGTTCAACAATTACTACCTTTCTCGTCTGAGACTTTCTTTTTTTTTTTGTTGCTGCAGCTTCGCGAGTGAGGGCTTCCAGACCTCGTGTGTTATGACTCTCGCTATCTAAATGGGCTCTTTCGTCCCCTTTTAGAACAAGCATCACGGTAGCTTTTATATCTTTTCTCGTCATTTTCAATTCTCGTGGAGATACCCACGTAGCGGCATGTTCCTGGCGCGTGTATTCAACTCTTTCTAAAGAAGGAAGTATGACGTCGATTCCATTGAATTGAACTTTTCTATCTGACATTGCTGTGTTTATGAATTTTCTATTTGTATTTACGTAATTCGTTCCGAGAGAAAAGCCCGAGCAATGGTGCTGGACACCTTGGCAACCTATAAACTCCAACGTGTGCGTACCGGTCCGGCAGTTACCTCATGCGAAAGTACAATGCGAGGAGCTAGATATTGGAACACTTCTTCTTAACTAACGGGCAGGCMATTGACGAGGACTGCTCTGCTACGGTACGGTTTCTGCATCAAATCAGAACTTGCGAAGTGGCAATATTGGTGTCGGTCATTAACCTAGCTCCTTACCGTAGTACTTCTACGAAGTACAACAAGTACGAAAATACAAGAATACTGTAATCATTTCTAGGGACCATTAACCCATTTCCTTGTTTTACAAAWGACATAAACTCATTTCCTTGCATATTTCCGTTTTTAGTGAATTGTAAACTCATTTCCTTGCATTCGGCCATTTTGTAAACTCATTTCCATGCATTCTCTACTAAGTAATCAAAATTCTGCCGTTAAATAACAGGAAAAACCAATGCATCACTTAGGAGTTCGACGTTAAACAACAGCAGGAAACTACCGAATACAGTGTTGAAATACAAGACAAGAACCAACGACCATGGTGCTCCTTCTTGCAATACAAATAAAAGAATGAAAATAGGACAGATGCTATTGGTATTAATGTTTTATATCCCCTCTGTATCGTATCGAATCGTATCAGCAACTCGTATCAGCGTCCTCTGTATCAGTGACTCGTCGTCTCTCCRTAAGAGCATCCTCCRTATCAGTGACTCGTCTTCTCTGTATCAGCCACTCGTATCCGCATTTTCTGTATCAGCAATAGTCCCCCGTATCRGTGAGTCTCTGTATCAGCAAGCGTCCTCCATATCAGCAACACTCCATAGTCTCTCATGATGGATCCGCACCAATACTGGTGTAATCATACACCGTAATCGTAGCTAAACCGGTGTTCCGTATCAGCAACTCGTTCCGTATCGGCATCTTCCATATCGGCGTCCTCTGTATCAGCATCCTCTGTATCAACATCCTCCCGTATCAGCGTTCCATATCAGCGTCTTCCAACCATGGTGGTTCTTGGTCTTTTGGTTATTGCTTTTTTGAATCGTATTGTACTGTATCAGCAATTCCGTATCAGCGTTCCGTATCAGCGAGTCTCTGTATCAGCGTCCTCAGTATCAGTGAGCATCCTCAGTATCAGCGAGCGTCCTCTGTATCAGTGAGCGTTCTCCGTATCAGCGTTCCATAGTATGAGCRAGTCTCTGTATCAGTGTTCTCTGTATCAGTGTTCCGTATCAGCGTTCYGCATCAGCATCCTCYGCATCAGCAACCTCCACACCTTGTAAGCATTCCCAGTGTYCCGTAGCATCACCATCGTCCTCCAACCATGGTGGTTCTTGGTCTTTTGGTTGTTGCTTTGTTGAATTTATGACTGTTGTTTTGTGCTGGTGTACTGCGTTGTGGTGGTAGCATTGGTTTTTCCTGTTRTTTAACGGCAGAATTTTGATTACTTAGAGAATGCAAGGAAATGAGTTTACAAAATGGCCAAATGCAAGTAAATGAGTTTACAATTCACTAAAAACGGAAATATGCAAGGAAATGAGTTTATGTCATTTGTAAAACAAGGAAATGAGTTAATTCTCCTCATTTCTAGAAAATAGAAAATCGAAAATCTACTTCCTTCAGTCTAAAAACTACAGTTTTTGTTAACCTGGATGGCATATCTTGTCATTGTACAGACGAGAAGTCATCTCGAAATACAATAAGGATTGTGAGGCAATACCACATACTACTGTAGTAAATCACAAGTAGATAGTGAGTGACAGCAGCAACACGCTCATCCACTCACTCTTACAGAAATTGTAAACGCTGCAATACAACACTAAAGACGTTACGGAGTATATCCTCAGCAGCAACAACTTCTTAATAACAATAGCCAGCAGAATAAAAATGCTCATTACTTCCTGTAAGATACTCAATGAGCTTACAAAGCAGTGCAACAAGTTGTTCGTGATGAAGAGATAGAGGAGGTTAAGCGTCACACTAACTATCTGGCCTTGATTTAGTAGTCATTTAACACTTGGATACATACTAGTAGTACTTTACTACTAGTAGTAGAGCTCCTTACTACAACATCACAAACAAGGGCAAGGATAATGCCTTCAAGTACATAGGTACGTAATTGACAATTCTCTCTGCTGTGGTCAATTTTTCTCATTTTCCTGTCTCCATTTTCTCCTCCCTCCCCCCCCTCCTCACAAAAAACTTGTTGTCCTCACCAAATATTCTGCTGGTGCTGCGATATCATAGTGATCCTTCTTAGTACTACTTGTTAGGACTTGACATCAGAGGCTACTACTTTAAAATTTGTGTTACCACTCAATACTGGTGCTGGGTAACATCCAAAGAAGCCAGCAAGAAATTAAACAATGAAAATAATTTTATTTTCATCAATTGCACAGTTAGTACTATGTCACATAGTACTACTACTACATAGCTAGTAGTAGTAGTAGTAGTAGTAGTAGTAGTAGTAGTAGTAGTAGTAGTAGTAGTAGTAGTAGTAGTAGTAGTAGTAGTAGTAGTAGTAGTTGTAGTTGTTGTTGTTGTTGTTGTTGTTGTTGTTGTTGTTGTTGTTGTTGTTGTTGTTGTAATAGTACTAGTAGCTATTAGTAGTACTACTAGTACTACTAGTAGCAGTAGTAGTACTAGCAGTAGTAGTACTAGTACTAGTATGGTATGCCACAGTACACCAAGTGTAAAAATGAGGTAAAAAATTCTACAAGGATTTCTGTGGGAATTGCCAAGTACTTGATATTCTTGTGCTTGTACTTAGGAGTTCTTTGTCCATTGGRTAGATTGCAAGTGGTTCTGTTGTGACATTATTTTCTGGGGCTCATACCCCATGAGTGCACACCTCCTACTCTTGCATCCATCCCACCTGCTAGTACTACTAGCTACTTCTACTCACAGAAGAACAAGCCAGTACAGAAGGGGGGAATGCATGCTGCACTTCTTGTATACAGCAGCAACAAAAATACCAAATACTGTATCAAAGAAATAGCTAGTAGTTACCAGAATGTTTTAGCAACAATACTAAGTAGTAGTAAACATATCTTAGCAGTAGTAGTAGTACTTTTGTTGTTGTTGTATCTCCACAAAAAATTCCAAAACATATACTAGGAATTGGGTTTAGGTTCTTGTTCTTGTAAGATTCTGAATCAAAAAATGTCTATTCTACATACAACAGTTAGTATTAATATCATTTCTCTTTCTCAACCTCTTTCCTGTAATTTTGGACTGGACAATACCTCTTCTTTCATGCACCATTGCCCTCAATTTTCAAAATCAAAGGTGCACATGCTGCCTTGCACCAATTTATAGAAAATAGTGTACTAGCATGAACCAAGCTACTATTGCTAGTATTACCTACACATATTATTCTCAGTAGTAATATTGAACCTCCTCTCTCCTTGTGCCTGCTGTTGGTGAGCATCTTCTTACTACATATTACTGTCTAAACAATTGATTCCTGTACTCATTCATTGGTTCCCAGTACTTGATTGCTTTGCTTGTACTAATCATCCTGGAATGAATATAAAACAAAGAATAAATCTATAAATATTCTGGTGGCAGCTCAGAAGACCCAATTCTGCTTCTTTCTCAACAGGCAAGTTGTTTGGCTGAAACCATGTTGAAAAGAACAGCAGGGAGCAAGTAGTATTCTGTGAAGCTCTGTTTTTGTGAAAAAATAAGGATGGGATCATTGAATCAGTGATAGTAGGAAACAATCAATTAGTGTGTGAATCAATTGTTTACATACTTAGGCTAGTAGGAAATTCTCATAGTAAGCATCAATGTCACCCTGCTGACATTGTAGTTGCTGCAAATTACCTCTGTAGATCTTGTCAGAGCTGGCAGCAGTACTATGTCACCACTTTTCTCCTTTTGGATTTGTCAAGTCTTGTGCCCTATCCTAGCAGTGGAAATCTGCATGATATTTCAAGTTTCTTCCATATTTAAGGCAGCATTGTGGAATCACAGAAGGATTTTAGGGCTACCAAAATATTTGTGTAGAAAATATGTATCTATTTATGGGTTRTGTAAGCCAAATTTCTATGCTGCTGAGCTCACCAGAGATCCTTCAGTGGTTGGAATATCAACTATTGTTTCGCAAAATTTTCTTCCAAAAAAATCAGCTTTTTTGTTTTGAAGGATGTTCATTGCTTCCATTGCATCTCGTTTGCCAATCATTTGTGCTGTCATGGCACAATGCTCGCTTTGAGCAAAATAGGCATCTGCAATTAGTTCCTCGTCAAAATATCCTTCTTCATCTTGACAATCGATTTCAAAGAAAACGGCGGTGTATGCGTTCATGCGATTTCGCCTCTTCCTTTTTACTCCATCTCTTGTTCTGCTTTCGAGACCGCGAATAGATACGTCGCTTCCTTGTACAAGAAGGCCGGATTGCACTAATTTCGCGTCGGATTTCGCGTTTTCTTTCATTCGACGCATGTCGTCTCGATCAAACCACGAAGCTTCCATTTCTTCTAGAGTGTAATCGTCTCGGTTCATTACTTCGTAGGTAGCGACCATAGCACCGAAAGATACACGTCGAGATCTAGCAATTGAGGTTTCATGAAGTGGGGCGATGAGTGTTTTGGGTTGATCGATGAAGTCGTCGTGACTTGTTGTAAGAGAAAGATCAAAATCTTGAATCAAAGGGKCCATCTTGGATGTTCTGTTCCTGGAAGATAATATGTCTTTTGGGTTTGCGATCCAAAGTATTTTATGAACAGAAAGAATGATTTGTCGTTTTCGAATAGATGGGATTTGTTTTTGTGACGAACAATTTTGGTCTCTGAAAAGACATATTTCTCTCATTTTGCGCTTCCGCTTTTGGTCACTCGATAGTGCCGTGCAAGTACCGTAAGTACTCGTAGTCTAGTCATAGTCGTGCTGTAATCATAATGATTTCAACGCTAGTCATTTACGAGAACGAAAACTGTACAGGCAGGCCTCATATACTTGAACCTGTAAAATACGAGTAAACAATACCGGTCTTGGTACTTCGTTGTTGTCAACATCAATGAAGGCTTATATGTAATAAAGAAAACTTCAAGTTCTTTAAATTGCATACCGATTCGCTGAAATCACTTACGGTACAGTAAAGAAACTTGTAGGGTTTCAACATGTTGCTTCTCGGAACAATCATCTCCGCCAGAACTTCAGAGAAATCTGTCAATTCCGGTGAAATTCTCAAGTGTTGACATTATTTTGTACCGGTAGAGGCACGTCTGCGCGCGGCATCAAATAATCGAGACCCGTTACGGAATATTGAAAATTATGATAATTCAAACGTCAACTACTACCATTAGGTCGTGAATGCTACTGGGACCGTCCATGTAATGGAAGAAAGGAATAATCGATTATTCCTTATTCCTTCATACTATTACGACAATATTGATATTTTTCCACTTCTGAAGGTTACTAGTAGGGTACGTACTCAAATACCGGCATGGGGAAGCAGCATTCTTTATTTTGCGCCATCAATCTTCCTCCGGCAGAATATTTTCAATAATTGTTCGGCAATGTGATGTTCTGTACCGCATGGTAATAAAAAGAACAGAAGAAATCCTGTACAACAAAATTGAACTTCTCTCCATATTTATTTGTTTCTCTCCCGTACTAGAAACCACTTTTCTTATTTTTGTGTCTAATATTAGCAACTGCTGAACATCTTTACAACATCAGATTAAGAGGAACATTTTTGTAATTTTCAGATGAATAAATAGCTAGAGGTAATTCATGGTGCATTAGGTGTTATTAAAATACTAGTAGTACTAGTAGTACTAGCTAATGCATATCYACTAGTACTACTAGCTTGGAGGAGCTAGTACTACTACTAGTCTAGTAGTACTATTAGTACAACTACTAATACTACTACTACTAGTAAGTAGTTCTTGTTGCATGACTACTACTAGTAGTAGTACTAGCAGTTACAACTGGCTACTAGTAGATACTAGTAGATATGATTTTCAAAACAATGTTTTTCAATGCAAAAAATTCTTACACTTTGGTTCTGAGGAAAATTATCACCTAGATTTTCTACTGATTCCTACACACCAGTAGATACCTGACTAGCACCTTCTCACATAGGAATCCAGCATGGTGACATCCCCTTCCAAAGGGGAAAACCCACCTCCCTGGCTCCATTCAAGCACTTCTAAAACAGCAAGCAGCAATCTAACCAAGACTATCCTAAGTCTATTGATATCATCCCTGCCCCTAGCCTCACCAGCTGGATCCATCCCCTGTTTTTCCAGAAGTGCCATATCATCCAGGGTTGAAGTTGTTTCTGACATGTGTGCCGGAAAACAACAACAACAACCCCAGCCCCCTGTATCAACMCAAGACATTTGAAGAACAACGCCTGGAGTATATGCTACACTAGTATACTCAGTTTGAAAGAAGATTCACCAGCCTTATCTCCATGCAGTTCCAGTTTTATTTATGACCAGAAGTGTTGCCAGTCACATTGTTGTTGTTTCCGTTTTTTGTGTTGGACAGCAACAGCAACAAACCTAGCCCCCAGTATTCAACCAAGACCTTTGAAGAACAACATCTGGAGTATATGCTACATATTCAGTTTAAAGAAGATTCCCCAGCCTTGTTATCTCCATGCAGTTCCAGTATAATATACAGACCGGAAGTGTTTCTGGTCATGATGTTGTTGTTGTTGCAACAACAACAACCCCCAGTGTTCAACCCCATATCTAGATCTTGGAATCAATCTATCCCCAGTTTCTTCTTCAAGAAGATGCTCCACAGCAAACAGCTGCTCCTTTGGGTGCGCTCAGCTGTGATTTGAAAGAAGTGCTTCAGTTTTCTTTTTTCTTTTGGCTTTTTTTTCTTTTTGACTAGTCCACCGCATGTGTCCTCACCCACTGGGATGTGACTTGCCTTGATTGGCTTGGCAGTGTGCTTGGCACTTGTTTCCTTGATCACTGCGATGGTACTTGTCTTCTGGCTTGGCAGTGCCCTTTGAAATGATAATGGCATGATGGTTTTCATCCATCCAAACTGTGATCAAGGAAACAAGTGCCAAGCACACTGCCAAGCTAATTAAGGCAAGTCACCGCACAGTGGGCAAGGACACATGTGGTGCAGTAGTCATTTTTAAAAAAAAATCAAAAAGAAAAAGAAAAGCCAAGACAAAAAAGAAAACTGACCTGATACTTCAAATCACAGCTGGGCCCAACACCCAAAGGGAGCAACTGTTTGTGGAGCATCTTCTTGAAGAAGAGACTGGGGATAGATCAACAAGATCTGGTAGATACTGTGGGCTGGGGTTGTTGCTGTTGCTATCCAACAAGAATGTCATAAACGACAATATTGTGACTGTAATCTACTTCCAGTCCTTAAGAACTGGGGTATGGAGAGGATGCTGATCATAGCAGCATCAGCTTGGTGGTGGAATTGCTGTAATAGCAGGGGTGTTGTTGTTGCTGTCCAACATTTTGGGCTTCTGGTCTGTAAATAAAACTGGAACTGCATGGAGATAAGGCTGGTGAGTCTTCTTTGAACTGAGTATGATGTAGCATATTCTCCAGGTGTTGTTCTGCAAAGAAGGATAGGTCTTGGTTGAATACTAGGGGCTGGGATTGCTGCTGTTGCTTTCTGGCACGAATGTCAGGAATAGCAACTTCAAGACCAGAAGATAAAGCACTTCTGGAGGAACTGGGGATGGATCCAGCTGAAGCAAACTGCAAGCAGCTGGTGACAGAAGGGTAGTGATTGTGGTTAGAGTGATTCTTTAATGTGGTTAGATTGCTTTAATAGAGGCCAGGAAGGAGGGTTTCCCCCTTTGGAAGGGGGTGTCACCATGGTGGTTCAGATGCCAGAGGGCCTTGGTCAGGTATCAATGCATGTAGGAATCAGTAGGAAATCTAGGTGATAATTTTCAGAACCAAAGTGTAATTTTGTGTGTTTGAAAAAAATGTTTTGAAAATTATATTTGAGCAGAGAAATGAAGACCTTCATGGTGGCCACCACTCACTTTCTCAAAAAACAAGCACGCACCATATTTGCCCTGAAACCACAAACATGTTGGTCGCACACTCACTTATTTCCACAGGATCCAGAAACATTCATATCTGAAGCATCCACCACATTGATAACATATTACTACCTCTGAGTATATGAGAGAACCATTTATGCAAGTATCAGCAAAGCATCCCTCACATCTGTCTCCAACAGACACCCTATAACTCTGTATTATTCAACCTTGCCTCATATTAAACAACCACCTCCATAAAAGAAACCTCAAAAACAGATCTTAGTGTCAAATGCTTCATTGGCCATTGACTCAATTGTTTTAACTTTTCCCGTCTCCGCCCAAATTGTGCATTTTTTGGAATTTTTTTGGAGTTTCCATGATTTTCACCTGTGTAGACTGCAGTACAAATCCTACACAAAATAAGACTGAAATACCAAAAAGAGTTTTAAACAATTACTTTTWATAAAACACCTTTTCTGCTCATTCATTTCTATCATCCTTGTAATATCCAACCAAGAAAATATAAAACACTCCAAACCAGAATWTAAAATATCACCCACACCATCATACTTACCAACACAAAATAATCATATCACCAAGATGGATGATGATGATTCTTTTTCTGATGGTTGATAATTGTTCATGCTATGGTCATACTACTAGTGATGCAGACCTATCTGACAACAGTGGTGGTGACCTGCACCCTCACAGTAGGAGCCCCTCCCAAGATGACCATGGACCCATATCTGATCATCAAAAAGTATGCTGGGTGTACAAGTCCAAGCTTCCAGATCTAGGTCTCTCTACTGTCTATACATGTCACAGGTGAAAAGCTTACAAATGCACATGATTCTTTGAAAATCTATGTCTCTCTAATATATAAACATGCCACAGGTGAAGAGCTTACAAATGAATATAATTCTTTGGAAGATTGTAAAGCCCAGGTAAAAGTAATAGCCTGTGATGACTTTTCAAAGTACAAGGATATGAAGCAATCAATTTTGATGATTGAGAGTATCTGGTCAGAGAAGGAGCAGAACTGCTTGAGGCAGGAGGAGGAATTGACAGTAATACCAAATGAAGATTGGAAGCTGGGTGATGATGCAGAGGGATGGTATCCTCCTCCCAATGTCCAGTATACATCACCTGGAGGAGTTGCGACCCCAGGTCCCACCCATGCTGTAAGCAATTCATTGGATGGTTACACTAATAAGGTGAAGGGGTTGGCATTTTTGTTCTTGTTCTTGTTTGATGAAAAAATCCTTCAGATGATAGCAAATGAGTCCAACCGGTATGTGTTTGAAGATTGGGTGACAGAAGTTGAAGCTTCTGATGGTGGCATGCAAATATTGACCTATCTGTTGATGAGTCTTTGATTGTTTCCAAAGGAAGATCCATTCAATTTGTCCAGTGTCTTCCCAAGACGCCCATCAAGCATGGWATTAACAAGGTGTACTGTGTGTGTGATGCTGACACTGGGAACTTAATTGCATTTGAGATCTACAGTGGTATTAGTAGTGGGCCTACATGGGATGTTATTAAGTGGTTGATACGTCAATCCAATCTTGGACAACAAAATGGCCGTCGACTGTTCATGGACAACTTCTACACTACAATGAAAGTTGTGACCAAGCTATGTGAAGAATACAGATGGGTATCAGATGGCACCTTTTTATTTTCTTCTGGTTGCTTGAAAGAGTGGTACACTCCTGCTACATAATTGTCACTAGCCTAGCATGTGACAAGTTTATGAAGGAATGGAAGATACTATGCAAATCAAAA